GCTTTCTTCCATTGGAAATGTGTGCTCATTAGGAAAAGATTGCCTTTGCCTGTCCCCATCTCTATCTCTATGCGTGATTTTTATTTTGCATCATGGGGGCCTTGCTGAATATAAAATTCTATGCCCATCTTGGTTCCTTGTGCCAGACACGAGCCTCTCCTCCTACGACCCAGACTCTTCCCAGTATCATTCGGAGTGAGCCCATGATGTTCTGCTCAGTACCCCACATAGAGGGTGGTTTGGGTCCTGGAGTTGGCCTCCTGGATGTGTCACCTGGCCCATCACTCGCTAGTGGTGACCTGAGCAAGTGGCATAGCCCCTCCAAGTCCCAGTCTCCTTGTGGAAAAGGTGTCATCATAGGATTGGCCTCCCAGTGGTCGTGATGCCCAAATGGCACATAAAAATGTCAGCTCTCATTATTCCCAGCCTTTAGTTAATACTCTCAGTGCTTTTTATACAGACATTTTTATTAAGGTTATAGAGGTTTACATGCAGTCATAAGAAATGATGCAGAGAGTGCTGGTGCACCCTTCACCCAGTTTCCCCCAATGCTAATAAATACCACCATGCAGGATTATGGTCAGTGTCACTACTAGGATGTTGGCAGTGACACAATCCACCCATCTGATTCAGGTGTCCCCTGTTTCACTTCTAAAGATGCTCCTCGACTTACGATGGGGCCAAGTCCCAATAAAACCATCCTAATGTGAAAATATCATAAGTTAAAAATACACTTAATACCCTGATAAACCCACTGTATGTCAAGCCATCGTAAGTCAGGGACCTTCCGTACTCATGTGCACGTGTGTGTATTTTGTCCTAGCCAAGTTCTCCACCACCACCAAGATACTGAACTTTTCCAGCACCACAAGGACCCTCGGGTTGCCGTTTTCTACCCACAGCCCCCTCCCACCCGCCGCCTACCCCAACATTGCTCAGACACCACTGCATTTAGACAGAATTTTCTTTTACAGCAGTCCCCAAACTAAACATGTGATCTTTTGAGGATGCTTTCTTAAGAAACTCATTTATTTTTAGAAGATGGAAGAAATCTTATGTCTCTTAGTTCCACCTTCTGAGTCTATGGACTGGGTTTAATAAAGCAACATGGGAGGCCCTTGGGTACCAGCAGGTGGAGGGTGGGGACAGCAGACCCTGCCTCTCACGAAGTCGTGCATGCTGTGCCTGTGGCCTGCAGGGCACGAGGCAGTGCCCAGCAGGGAGATGCCCCCTTCAGGCCAGCTCTCACTCTCTGCTCTTCCCTGGCAGACCTACCAGGAGCATCTGGAAGGACAGAAGCACAGAAAGAAGGAGGTGGCTTAGAAGACAGGCATCCAGCTTGATGGTGGGCTGAGCAGGAATCTGGCCCAGTAGCACTGCGACCTGCGCACTGTGTCCTGCACCGGGGCCAACACCTACATGGCCCACAGCCAGGGCCCCGATCACCAGAAGGTATGAGCCCCATGTGGGAGGGAGCCCCGGGCCATGTCTGCCTCCCACCACTGTGTCTCGGAAGAAGCCGTGGTCAGTGCCTGACCCAGGGGATCACCTGGTGACATTGGAGGGAGAGCCACCAGGAGGAAGCCTCCTCACAGAGCCCAGGCCCATGTGTCCTCATTCCAAAGGTACCAAACATACACTTTACCAGTTATAAAAGTCATTCCTGGGGCTGGCCATTTAGCTCAGTTGGTTACAGCGCACTGCTGACAACACCAGATCAAGGGTTCAGATCCCTGTAGTGGCCAGCATGCAAAAAAAAAAAAGTCTTTCCTGCTTAAAAAAAGCATGAAGGCATGGAGGGGACTTGTACCTAGACCTCAGAGGAAACCTGACCTTTCGCTGTGGTGCTGCACAGAGTTTGCACTCTGCTGAGGTCGCAGGTGTGCTCCTTTGGGCTTTGGCTTTTTGCACTTCTTGTTTTCATACCATTGTTTTTCCTATGGCCTGAAAAATGCTTGTATGAAGTTATCTTATGGGGGAAAAAAGTAACAGGATCCCCCACCTAAGAGAAGGTAGGGAGACAGCTGGCCTCCCTGCCAGGCCTGGGGATGCCTTTAGGAAAGCAGCCACTGCCTCCAGCTTGCCTTACACGGGGGCGTGCCTGGAAGATACAAAGAGGGATTCCTGGCCGGATGCTGCCTCAGCCCTGTGCAGTCATGAGCAGGGGGATTAGGAAGTCCCCTGCCCCAGCACACAAACCTTCAGATGCCCAGGCCCACCTGCTACACTCCCTCCAGCCCTGGGCCTCTGCTCATGGCTCTCTTCCACCCCCCTGGCCCTGGCGCCAAGGACCTGGCTCTTCTCCCCCACTTACCTGGAAGCTCATCAAGGTCCCCATTGCCGGGCTCCCAAATGCCTGTGTGAACCCACAGACAAGTCCTGGAGGATGGGGAGTGGGTGGGGGCAGGAGAGCTGGGGGCCAGGGGTGGGGCTGCAGGTGGGGTAGGGTTAGGGCTAGGCGGGGGGCAGGGGGAGAATGGGCAGGTCTGAGCTGTGAGAGGCAGAGGCTGAGAGCTGGTGAGTACGTCTGAGATAGTTGTCACTGCAAATGCCAGGGGCCACAGAACAGTCCTTTCCAGCTGGGATCTTTGCAATAAGTGCCTTTAAGTAGAATTGCTGAGGCTGGGGCGTGGCCGGAATATGGCTATATGTGTGCAGACTTATGCATGCGTGTGTGTGTGAAGAACACGGGTGTGTGTCCACGGACATGTGCACCTTCCGTCTTAGCAGGCAGCCCCCAACCACCCATCCATCCACACACAGAGTCCCCATCTGGGGCAAGCACTGGCCTGGAGCTTGGGAGGTGGAGGGACAGCCCCAACTTTCCACCTACACAGTGGAGTTGGAGGAAGAGTGTCAGTGGGAGCCAGCGTGGGTGTTGGAGCATTAGAAGTGCCACGCCTGTGTGATGCAGGAGCTGGCTCAGGGAGACCTTTTGGAGTGAGAGATGCTGGGGAGAGTGGGAGGCATTCCCATGGGAGCTAGGGAAGGGGCAGGGTCCCCGGGGACAGGATACTCTTCCTGTCTCTCAAGGAAGCTGGCCAGGCACAATGGGAGTCTTGACACTGGGGCTCAGTCAGTTCCAGGTCATTAAGCTGCAAGCTAAATTGGGGAAGCCCATACCTACCATCGAAACTGTGCCAAGGAACTCCAGCCTGGACTGCACCCCCTGCACCAGCAATCTGGCCCCCGTGGCCATGCAGAGTACCCTGGAGGTCTCAGCCAAGCCCACAGCCCCAGCTGGTCCCAGTGTTCATGCCCCAAGTGGGCCAGCACTGGCCAAGAGACCAGCGGCCTCGCGGGCCCCAAGCATGTGTACATGTCTCTGTGGTTCTCCGCCTAAGTCCTTGTGTGTGTTCCTCTGCCTGCCACAGCTGTCCTGATCACTGTTCTTGTGTTTTGTGAGACGTGATCATGCAGTTTGTGTGAATGTGTGTGAGAGAGTTTTCGTCTTCTCGGGGAGGAACTTCAGCTATGAATGGGGTATGATTGTCCATGTTTCCACCAGGAAGGGGGGTTCCACCTTTGGCCCCCACAGCTCCACACTTTGATGTGAGACCATTTCTGGGAAATGTAGGCAGAAACGATGAATGGAATGCCATCTCTCCCCACAGAGTTGGGGATTGTGCTGGGGCACTGGTAGTTCCAGCCACCCTAGGCCTGGAGAATTCCCTGGGCTATGCCTCCACCATGCTGGGCAGCAGCCTCACCTTCCCTGCTCGAGAACCTGAGGTAGGAATAGCTGAGCTGGATCAAGGTGGGAATAACTAGGATTAAATGTCAGGTGCTCAGCTGACTGCTGTGTGCACTGCCTGATCTATCTCCACAATCACTCTTTAAACTAGACTTGGTCACTAGACCCAATGTACAGATGGAAAAAGCGAGGTGGGGCCCCGTGAGTGCCTGGCTCCAGGCCACACAGTAAGCAGTGGAGGTGGGATTCAAACCCAGCTCTGTCCAATTGTCTCTGCCCTGGACCACCATGCTCTGTGCGGAAAGTGGGGGTGGGGGTGGGGAGAGGCTCATTTTATTTTTAGCCTCAGCAGCACTGTTTCTTGAGTAACAGCATAATTCTGAAGTTCAAACCATCAAGGAGTTTTGATATCAAAGAAATTTATCTCTCCTGAGCGTCCATAAATTTGCCTAGTGGGGGCACTAGGTTAAGTGGGACCCTTGGCCCACCTAATATTTCCTTATTGACTAGCTAAGTGCTGTGGATTTTGTGCAGTTGGTGGGTTCCTCAAGCGAGGCACCTAAAACCAGAGCTTCTCCTTGATGGACTGAAATTGGCCTCATTGTTTTCTTGGCTGTGACACAACTGGCATGAAAGGGATAGTGAGGCCCCCAGCCAGGGTGGTCCCACAGATGTCACAAGGAGGAAAAGGGACAACGGACAAGGGACCTGGGTCTGGCCAGCTCTCCACCGTGCACAGCCTGGCAGATTTGCAGCCAGTGCAGGTTATAAGTAAACATAGTTTTTCCCCTTCAGGGTCCCCTGAGTCACTGGCAGCAGGCAGCAGACCCCAGGAGAGGAACCTGGCACAAGCCAAATCGGAGGGGCCCAGAGAGCCACCCACCTGGGGAAGCTCGGAGGAAGCGTCCAGGGACTGCTGTGACGTGCAGCCAGTGGACCCAGACTACAAGGGAGGAGGTGGGTCAGGACCGTCACTGCGTCTGGGCTCTGGTGGGCTCTGGTTGGTCAGACTCAAGACTCCACCCAGGTCCTCCCATCTAAGACTGACAAACCCGTCGGCATTCACAAGCTCCACAGGCCAACCTCGAGGAGTCCAACTCTGAGCAGACCCACCTGATGGTATAGGTGCTAGATTTCCTATGCTAGAAGGGACCAAACATGGTTCCGTGAAGGCCTGAGATAGGTAGAGGCATTTCCCGGTGGTGCCCCATGGAACTGTCACCCTCATCCCTTCAGAGAGGAAGGTGGAAAAGGAATTGGGGCAGTAGAAAGCTTGGTGAGAGCTTGGAGACCCTTCTGTCCCGCCCCTCTGCTGGGCCTGAGGGGCCTTAGGACCCGCTGAGGCTGAGCTGAGCAGCAGAGCTGAGCCCCATCCAGATCTCTCACAGGACAAGAGTTCCCCTAGGTGTGGGATCCAGAATCCCAGCCCCAGATAGGTCATGCAAGCCAGCATGTACCCTGCAGGGCCACCACGCAGATGTGCACAGCGGAGATAATTGGCCCATGAGGCTTGTCGCAATTCAGAGGCCTTCTCCACATCTGATTCCATGGTCCCCAGGCCCCTGAGTTCTCCAGCAATAAGTAGATGCTGCTTCTGCAGACATGCACATGGCTAAGAGGAGGCGAGAGGATCAGTGTTCCTCCTGTCCTTGTGTTCGTGTTCTGGTTCAATTCAGCATCTTCCGTTTTGCCCAGCACAAAATAACCACAGCAGCTGGAATTGTGATTTTGGAGACCCTGCCACTTAGTTAAGGAGAAGAGACACGTTTTAAAAGCCACAGGAGGACTGTCCAGTTAGCCGAGTCTGTTAGAGCATGGTGCTGATAACACCAAGGTCCAGGGTTCAATCCCTGTACCAGCCAGCCGCCAAAGCAAAACAAAGCCCCATGAAAGAGAGAAACAGGAAGGGCCCACGGTCAGGAGAAATTGTGTTAAGGCAGGTCACCAGCCGAGGCACCTGGGAAGGCTGAGCCACCTGGGCATCAGTCACATCCCACAGCCTCGTGCCTGGCTAGGGCTCACCTATTTTGTGTCTCAGGTGTGCAACGACGAAGGGAAAGTGATTTGGTTCCACTGCAAGCTGTGCAAGTGCAGTTTCAACGACCCAGCGCCAGGGACATGCACGTGAAGGTGCGGCGGCACCGGCTGCAGTACAAGGTGCGTCCAGCAGGGGACTCAGCCCGCGGGCGGTGCCAGGAGACCCCTGTGGTCCGAAGTCCCCTCCGCCCCAGGTGACCTGATGAGCTCAGTGGCTCCCTTTGCTCTTGCCCGAGGAGCTTTTTCTGAAGCGCTGCCGGCCGCAGTCTTTCAGGGTTGCTTTGGTGAACTCCGTGAGCTCTTCCTGCTCCCTTAGCTTTGGAAGCTCTCTCGGGCTCCTCCCATGCTTCCTGAGAGGCAAGGGGATGTCCTCCTCTGCCTCAACTCACAGCCCATGTTCTAGGCCAACACCTGGCCTAGTACCTGCACAGAGGGGGACTCAAGAACTAGGGGACAGAAGGAAGGATGGATGCATAAGTGGACTGATGGGTGGGTGGGTGTGTGGATAGGTAGGTGGACAGATGGATGGATCGATAAGTGGATGAATGGATGGGTGGGTGGGTGTGTGGACAGAAATAAACCAGTGACATTCGTGAATTAGTTTGGAAAGCATCCTCAGTCCTGGTCATGCAGGTGACTTGCAGGCAGGTCAGTGAAACAAGGGGAGGGGATAAAACCACAGGAACAAGCACAGCCTGGTGTCTGCCAAGTGCATTTCATCTTTTGCTGGTGGCCATTTGGTTTTAAACTCTGCACCCACTTGTTGCTGGGGACAATTCCCAAGGCACATGGTCAAGTCCTTAATGTGCACATGAAACAGATGCACAAATGCTGCCTGGTTTCCCCAGACACTCTGTCACTTTGGCGATTGTAGACACATGTTGTTGCTTTTTCTTGAGCCAGAATTATTTTGATTGGGAGTGAGTGTCTTTAGTTAAAATCAGCAGGTGCTCTTGTGATGAATTTTCAGTAAATATCCCACAATCACCAATGTTATTCACCAGTCATATCCTGCGCCTTCTTCCTGTGACCCCTTTGTCAGGTCTATAACCTGTAGGTTAAGCTTTTATTTTCGGCCGCTATCTGTCAACTCTGAGTGTCAGTCCTGGTTCTGTTCCCACTCAGTAGCCCCCTTTCCCCACCACTGCTTTAAGGAGTTTCAAGACTTAGGGGGATTTAAACCCCACTGTTGTATAAACACGGCAGGAGGAGGTCAGTCTTGAGGTCTCTCCCTGTGTCCCTGGGACCTGCCCCTCCATTCTTGTCTAAATGAAGGTCTCTAATCTCATAGCCTTTTCTTCCCTTTTCAGAAAAAAGTGAACCCCAGCTTCCCCATCACCATCAGGCACAGCAACAGGGTCCAGAAGCTCCTGGAGGAGCGGCTGAGAAGCGGAGGCTCCTGGCCAAGAAGCCGCTGGAGGAGATGCGGCGCTGGCACACGGAGATGAGGTGCCACCGCCACGGCCAGCCTCGCGGTCCACCTCCCCCGGTCACTACCCCTCCCCCTGCTCCTGGTAGGTGGCAGGACGTTCCCTTACTCTCGGTTCCTCACTGGAAGGGCCCGGCTACTACTTGCAGGAATGAGGAGCTCACAGGCTTGCACCCCGACTCCCAAGTGCACTCAGGGTGTGGGGACCTTGACAGGGAGGCAGCAGATCCACCATCTTCTGTGGCCAGGCGCGGCTTGGGACCAAACCTTCACCTCCACCCACATTGGGGGGCCTGCTTGGTGGCTTCCAGGCATGGGGATGGGGCTGTTAACCATGCATGTGATGAGCAGCCCATGCCATCCGGGTTGTTGGAGAGAGAGAGGGTTTTAGTGCTGAGCTCAGCATCACCATTACTGCCACAGTGACATGATAAAGGTAGAGACGGAAGGCACTCCCTGCCCATTCACAGGGACACTGGCTACTACAGAGGCACCTGGTGTCCACTGTGCCCCAAACCCCCATGACAAAACCAGCTCACCCTCCCAAGGCTCACAGTCCAGTGGGGGACAGGGACACATGACCAGGTGATTGACACACGACAGGACACATGACAGTGCAGGCTGAGCAGGGTTGTAATGGCATCAATGGGCAGAGGGGGTCCCAGAGGAGGCACCTGACCTGGCCTGGGTGTTCAAGGAGGCTTCCTGGGAAAGGGGGCACGAATAGGAGTTTGCCAGAAGGGGAAAGAGTGGCGCAGACAAGAGGAACAGCATGTGAGATGGCTCCGAAGAGAGAGAAAGGAGCGTGGCCAGGAGCACCGAGAGTCCTGGTTCCGGTTCTGGTTCTGCCACTGGTAGCCAGTCAGTCCCTTCTCTGGGCCTGTTTCCACTCCTTGTCATGGCTGTGAGGATTCAGTAAACTCCGTGTGTAACACGCTCAGCCAAGCCTGGCACATGGGGAGCTGCAGGTCACAGGGCCGGCATTTCCATCCTGCCCCCGCCTGGCAGCGGGGAGCCAGGAGTGCTGGAGCAGCCTCCTCTGCATCTGAGGTTGTAGGGCCCAGGAGGACCCCATCCAGGTGGGGGTGGGGACTGGTAAAAGCACACCACGGGGCAGTTCACAGTCTCTGGCCTCACCATGAAAGGAAATGGCAGGGCAGGGGTGGGGAGGTCTGTTTCCTGCCCCTGTCCTAAATTGGACACTTCCTGCCCCAGGCCAGCCCGTCGGTGGGCCAGGACCCCCTTCCCTCCCCTCACTCCCTCTCTCACCCCCATTAGTGAGGCCACCTGCTGCGGGAGCCTCTCAGAGAGTCCCAGGTGTTCAGCCCACACTCTGCTGAGTGACCAGCATTAAAGATGAATAATGAGCCAGAGCAGGGGCACCTGGGAAGCCCATCAGGCGTCACCGCACTGGCAGCCACCTCGTCTTGGGTGGCTTATTTAACCTCCTCGTTGCCTGCCTTTTCTCGCAGCTCCTGCTCCTGGTGCCCCCCTCCTCTCCCCAGTGAAGTTTGTCAGATTCAATGAATAAAAACACAGCACACACAGTCAGGTTTAAATTTCAGATAAAGGACGACTCGTGTGGTGGTATAAGTGTATCCTACGCACGACTTGGGACACACTTATACTGTAACAGTATTTGTTATTCATCTGAAGTTCAGATTCAGCTGGAGTCCTGCATTTTATCCAGCAGCCTCATTCCAGCCCATTCCTAATCCCACCTGGATTGACTGTGAGCCTCAGTGTCCCTTCCTGCTAATGCCCAGATGCTGGTCAACCTGGACCAGTCAGAGGGACCCTGGACTCAGGGGATGTTGGGGGCTTCCTGGTCAGTTGTGCCCCCCCACTTGGGTGCTGGATGGTGGGGCTCCCGGGGGGTCCAGTATAGGGGCCCAGGTATGAAGGGGGAGGCTGAGGCCTCTTCTATCTGCCGACTAGTGTGGACCTGTTTTAATATTTTAGCAACTTGTCCATCTGTACAGTGTTCCTGTAGACCATCAGTCTGGTCCTCGTCCCCTCCTTGACCCAGCCCTAGTATGGGTGAGGGTATTTTAGGTCCCTGGCAGGCCACTGGACCAGCAGGCATTTCTTGGGAATTTACACAAAAAGACCTAAAGTTACTGTGACTTAGGAGAGGTCCCTAAGAGACAGGAAAGGAGGAGTGACATGCCCACCTCCCCCAAGTACTCATTACTTGAGGTCTCTTTTACCTCCCTGGCCTTCAGGGAGGCCTCGATGGGGAGGGCACAGTCTCTGAATCCCAGGTTCAAATCCCAGCTGTGCCACTTATGAGCTGTATGAAGCTGGTGGCTTTCTCTGTGCTTGGTTTCCTCGCCTGTGAAATGGGGATAATAACGCTAGCAGCAGTACCAACTGTTGGGGTGGCTGAGAAGATCAAATGCATTCATTTATTCAAAGAGCTTGGTCTGGCACATAGATAGTGCTCACGGAAGTAATAGCGGGGCCCCAGCCTCTCTCCTGGGCCAGGGGGAGGGGCTGAGCGGGAAGCAGAGGCTAATTTTAGCCCTGATGACACCCCCTGGCCGTCTGCCTTGTCCAAACATCCCCAGCCCAGCCGGGACGTTCAAAGCGGCCCCCCCACCCCCAACCTCTGACATCCAAGGAGACTGTTTATTAGTTCTTGTGAGCTGCAGCATTCTTTGCCTGCCTCAGCTTGCCACCCAGCCTCCATCCCCGCATGGCCCCACCCCTGTCACCCTGGGTGAGGACCACCTCACCTGTAGATCCCTCTGGGACAGGCCAATGGCCAGGGGCGGTCAAAGTGAAGGGCAGGGAAGGGGCAGGCATAAGGGGTCACTCCTGCCCCAAAGTCCAGAGATCCCCAGTCTTCATTTAAAATTCTGCAAGTAAGAGTCTGAGCTTCTGTGTTAACTCACAGATATTTATTTAATCAGCACCTGTTTACTGAGCACCTGTTGGGTGCCAGGTCCTCCTGGGGACCCAGGCCCTGCCCCAACAGGGCTCCCAAATCTTGGGGGAAGACACAAGCCAGAAAACCAACACTAGAATTCATAGGTATGCGGAGTACTGTTCATTCATTCTTTCGTTCATTCAATCATGAGTTCATCCGTTCATTCAAGGCCTGTTTACTGAACTCCTACAGTGTAGTGCTTATTCAAGGTGCTCATGGT